CCCCAAAACCCCAAAACCCCAAAACCCCATGTATCAACTTTGATTGCAAATTAAGGACGGTATAATATTTTTTGAATACTTTTAATTGTTTAACAATTATACTTCAAATATTAACAATAAAGTATTGAATCAACTTAAATGGAAAGTCAGTCAACAGCTGGATTAGTCCTAATTTCAAAGCTCTACAACGAGGGCCTAATCAATGACAAGGACAGAGACAATCTCAAGGGTAAGTCATTCTTCAAAAGAGCTAATTCTCCTCATTCACTGTGCTCTTATCCTAGTTAATTTTCGTGTGAATTCATAATTCCTGTAGATATGGTATTCAATGAAGACTCAACTCTTTTAACTCTGATTGAAAAGTACTCTGAAGATGAATAGTACCTAAGAGAAGCTATCCTGAAGTACGTGCATGGTGGCAACATGAGAATGACTCAGTGCTAGCGAGTTAGCATTAAGGTAGACTCATCAGACATCCACTAAGTAAGTTTCCCCTTTCAAACAGCATTAAATTCTCGCATAGTTGAGCAGCCCAACAGATAGTGCAATCGATATGAAGAAAATGCGCAGATTGAATCAGCTGTAGCAAGAGCAACTCAAGTACGAGCAACTCGAGCAACAAGAGAACTTGATGCCAGCCGCCTCAAAATAAAACAACATATCTCTGGGCATGAAGGGATGCGACCTAGGGTGCTCGCCTCAAATGTCTAAGAACAGTCTTGTGCCTAAGAAGAAGATGGTTCAAGGCAGATTAAGTCCTCTGGGAGTGCAGTCCAGATAGTTCTTATTCGACCAGAATATGCTTCACTGAGAAAGTCAAGCGCATGGTCTGATTGCTAATCAACTGTGAAAGTAATTGAGATTTACTTATTAAAGAATGAGAGCAGAAGTTAAAGAGAGGGAAGGTGCTAGCAGGTCTTAGGGTGGTTCTCTAGGATTTAAGAGTAGCATTCTTACCCTTTGCTTTCTCATCTGCTTAGATATAAATATTTCAAGATGTTTAATTTAGCCTAATTAATTCAATTAACACTTTAGAATAAGCATACACTTTATCTTGGGGTTTTGGGGTTTTGGGGTTTTGGGGTTTTGGGGAGATCGGAAGAG